GGCATTAGAAATAGCACGGGCAGCCAGGCACAGTGGTGCATGTCTGTAATCCCAGCAGTTTGGGAGGCTGAAGCAGGAGGATTACACGTTCAAAGTCAGCCTCAACAACTTAGCAAGGCCCTAAGCAATTTAGTAAGACCCTGTCTCTAAATAAAATATTTAAAAGGCTGGGGATATGGCTTAGTGGTTAAGTACCCATGAGTTCAATCTCCCAGTAACGAAAGAAAGAAAGAAAGCACGTGCAAAAGCCTAACCTGGCTTAATGTTGCATCATGGCTGGAGTTTAGGATGCAAGGTTGAAAGGAGGAAGAGTTGAACCTGAAAAACATGGACAGAATCAGGAAGGTCCTTGTACGTCATATTAAAAAGCAGGAATTTTTTCTGAAGATATAAAGGAGCCATTTGAAGCATCCAAAAGCTTATTCTAGGTCTAAGGGTGTAGCTCGACAGTACAGCATGTGTTTAGTGTTTGTGCTTAGCATTGGTTCAGCCCCTGGCACCAACAGTGACCAAATAAGCTCATCTAGAAACTCTGTAAAGATTAGTAAAAACATTACTATAGGAAATAAGATGGGGGTGGGGGCTGTTGCAATAATCCAAGCCAGAAATAATGAGGAGCTAAAATTTGGTGACTAAATCCATGTGAAGAAAAAGAAGAATCATAGGGGTTTAATTTGAACATCTAAGAATTTATAATACAGAAGGTGTGCAGTAGCCAGTTACAAATATCTTACAGGCTTGAGACTTAGGAGAGATATGCTAGAAGCTCAGGTTTACAAGGTGTTTTGATGAAATGGATGGATCAAGTGTGTTTACTGTTGTGCTGAAACTAGCTTAACTGAAAAGTGAAACAATTGCTCAGTCATTTGGAAGAAAACTCAAGATACCAGTTCAGGTTTTTATTTGGAAATCATTTACATAAATGTGCTTATTACATAGGAATAGAGGAGTGTAGAGAAGGAAAAGGTCAAACATTATAAGTCAGGCCTAAAGGAACATGAATTTTTTACTTGGGGAGGATGTTGCTGTATGAAAGCTACACCCAGTGTAGCCCTGCTCTCTGCCCACAGCAATCTCTAGTCTCCCATTGTCCAGTCTGTAACACATCTTTTACCTGCCTGCTGGAGATACCTTCTTAAGATAGAAACCAAGTCATGTAATATATCAGCACAGAAATCAGCTTTAGTTGGTTCTGTATTTTTCGTGGAGTTCAGTTCTCTTTAAGTTTTTAATGTAGGTCCTACTGCTCAGTGGTAGACGTTTTGACCTGTTTTCATTATCTTCCAAACCATCCTTCTGAGTATGTTTCCTTTAAAGACACATCCCTCAATCTTTTGCTCACTCTGCTTTCTCAAACTGTTTTCATTTTCCAGTTATCAGAATGTAACTTACCCCCTAAGATCCAGCTAGATGTGTCCTCTGAATCCTTCTCAAAAACCTCCATTCCTAAGTTAAGGCCTCTCTTCTTTTATTTCCATGCATTTCCCTCACCCTTGTTGGTTATCTACACAACTTTTCCCCATTCAGTCATGCACTTTCAGAGAACAGGGGCTCCTGCTCACTCAGGATTGCATCTCTAGGGTATCTGGCCCAGTGCTTTGCTCTTAGCATGGGACCCATATGCATTTAGTTTTGGTTTTGGCATGATAAGTATCCAAAACTATAAATCATGAATCAAAGTGGTCTTCACTCTATTACAGTATGATTCTAGAAACCACATCTCAATGCAGAGGATTTTTTTTTAAAGGAAGAATATTGTAATTGAAGGATTTAGCATCAAATAAATCAGATACGTGAATAGTAATAAATTCCAAAATCAAAAATAAACTCCAAACTAGATGAATGTATAGAATTGTGCTCCTTGAAACAGAATTTTAGCAAGCAAGGAAGCCTTGAAAGAGCTCACCTAGTCTAGTGGTTTTCAAACTGTTTTCTGTAGAGGGCTCTCAGGATAGGACTGGGAAGGCAGGGAGTGCCAGGCCATGTAAACCCTAGTTTCACCCAGAGTGATTCTGTTTTCACATGTTTATATATGAGACGTTCAATAATTTTGCTATTACATCAGTTTGAAAACACTAGCATAACCTTCATACAACTTCTGTATCCTTGGAACTCTGGGCCTCCATTTCCTCATCTGCAAAATAAGAGAATGGTGCTATGATAGCTTGTGCTTTTATGCTGAGCCCCTTTATTCCTTTCCAAGAAAAAAAAAAAAAAGAAACAAGAAATATTACAAGGCTTATTCAGGCCTCACAGAGTTACTAACAGAACCAAGAGTAGAATTTAACTACCAACCTTAATTGACATTTTTCCTCTTGCATCAGTTTTTTAAAAATTCCTACAAAGTAGATATAAGCAAACTATAGATATTATTTGGAAAAGGTAGATGTGAGCAGGTATATAAACAGCATGTAAAAATGAGCTATACCATGTAATAAATTTGCCTTATTTAAAGCTGATGTGCTAGCTACAACCTGTATTAATTAAACATTTACCTGATTTTATGTTCATTCTTCAGATTTATAGAAATATTTGGGTTAGTTGTTTGCATGGCCCATTTCTCTTTTACAAATCAATATATGAATTGTTTTCTTCTTGATAAATCTTCACATAACCAGTGGAAGCATTTAAAATCATTTCATTAATCATTCTTTCATGTTTAAGTCTCATTGCATCTAAATTAAAAAGCATCCCTAAGAAGTTCTGAGGGTTTGGGAAGTAAGAGTCTCTAGATTCTGCTCCTTTCATTCATCTTCTTCGCTTTGCTCATCTTCCTCTCTTCATCCCCTCCTCTCCAAATCAAGGGTATCCATGAAGAGGAAACGAAGTCACAAAACAACTGAGAGGTGTGTGTGGAAAGGAGGGAAAGAAGGGCAGTCATGCTCCTTGGCCTTGTTAATGGTGGGGGGCGTTTATGGGCTGATCACATTCCAGCCTTGGGGGCTTTTTTGTTTAAAGATAAAATAAAACAAAACAGCTCACAGAGACACCTCCTTCTTCCCCCTCCTTCTGCCTCCATGAGTCACTACCCATATGGCGCTGCTGCTGAGACCAAGGAATGAGTGAGTAAAGGTGTTTAGAAGTGAAGTATTGGTCCTATTAAATAAGTGTCCTTTGCAAATAAGTGTTAAAACTTTGAAATATGGATCCCTTACTAATTTATAGGATTTGAAGATAGGCTAAGCCACCTTTGCATCATAAAAAAGGAATTGGGTGTGCCAGTTATAGTAATGTAGTAATACAGTAGAAAAGATGGCAGGAACAACCTACTTAAACAAACTTTCTGGGGCTATCACAGCATCTATTGCAAATGAATAAACTATAACAGGCAGGATTGGTAAGACCTGCCCATGACAACATGTTATAGCTTGACTTCACGGTGATACATAATACAGTCTGACTTCTCTCCCCTAGACCTCTTGAATAGGTTCAAATTGGTGGTAATTTCTGAGCTTATGTTGAGTTTTTTTGTTTTTGTTTTTGTTTTTAATCTGGTAGTTTTAACAAGTTTCATATGTATACACATCTATCTTTGGTAAGATGCTGGGCTTACCATGAGCAGAGAGATAGAAATACTTATTTCTTGTAAACAATAAAGCATCTTACCTTTAATTTGATTACAATATTTGGAATTTATTTTATAAACCTATAAAGGAACCAGAGAAATTATGTTGATGATTAATGCTTTCTGAGTTAAGTTTTAATGGTTTTCTTTGCTTGATGCTCTATCAGGTGAGAGCAGACAGACCATTCTGCAAATTGTGTTACTCCTTGAATTTGAAATTTTCCTTTTTGTATGTACTTCTTTCCAAAATACATTTCCACTGAGTCTAATCAACTTCACTAGTAGAGAAAAATCAACGAGTCATTTGTTCTTTTGTTGTTGGGGTCACTTATACAATACCCACCTTTAACCTCTAAGTCTTCTCCTTCTTTATTTCTTTATTAAATGCTTGACTTAAAGTTATATGGCTAACAATAATAATCACATAATTATGGTACAGAAAAGCATAACATCCTCTTGAAATCTTTATGATAAGCAAAATAATACTTGTTTAAAAATACTCAGTGCCAAATCTTGCAGAAATCTGATTTCAAAAGGAGGAAATCTAAAAGGCAAAATGAGTTTCCGTAGAGATAACACTGGGAAAGCATTAGTTTCATCAAGACTAAAAGAGAAGGTTTTAAATCTTTTCTTTCATTTTATTTCACTTTGTTTTGTTTTTCTGAATTTTTTAATTTAAATAATTATCTAGGTATCTACTTCTTATATGTAATTCAAAATTTTAATAACAATTTATATTTTCTTTGGGAATATTAAATGGATCCTTTCCATAACATCTAATTATCTTTTTCAAAAAATTTTTTTGCAATCTTTTTTATTGCGCTGATTTATAAAGCATTATTTGTCATTCAAACACCATTTCCCACAATACACTTTCATTTGGAGCTCGTGTTTATTCTAGAAGAAGCATCCAACACTCAATAATATAATTTGGTACCACTGAAAGTGCTTATTTGTTTTTCTCACAAAGTTGTCATTAATAAAATGATACACTGAACAAATTTTTTGAAAGATTTAAAGAGCTTCCAAATTAAAAATCTTGCATACAGTTCGGTAAGAATCACTATAAAAATATGGAAACTACTGAAGATTACAAAGGAAAGACGCAATGTAGAAAGATAAGTGTATCACTTTTGTAATATACCACGTAGTATTAGGAGATTAATTTAGGCTGATAAACAAGCCACATTTTTTGCCACACATCTGAAAGCTGGTTTTGTTTATAAATAAGGATTACACTATCTGGAGAACTGCTTCCTTGGTTTTCCATAAGAGTGAATATTTTTCTTGATAGACATTGCATTCTGACATAGACATTCTTATTCAGAACGGGTGTGTTCTCTCCTCATTCAGGAAGTTGGTGGGTTTTCAGCATGTGAATATTGACTGGGTTTCCTTCTCTCATTTTTGACTTACTACTTTTCTTCTTCCACAGCAGTCAGTCAGTAAGGACAAGTCCCAGGATTTCAGACTTGGCTCACAATCAGTGACACAGTAAGCAACTTTTCCTTCTAAATAATGTGCAGTAATAAATAGTTAAGGTTTGTGTTTGTTTTTTGTTATTGTTTTTAGGATAATTTCTCCATTTCCTTTTTTCCTAGCATATGATCACACTACAAGTTAAAGTTCAGATAATTGATTTTTAAATGAATGTAACTAGTTTACACTAAAGAGAATGTTTTAATGATTGGACCTTGAGAATGTGTATTATTTCAAGGCCATAATAATTGACATTAAATAATATCACACTAAACTTTCAAGGACCTATTTTGTTATTTACTTTTGTTTAAGTAACATATTGAAATAACTTCAACTGAAAACAAGTGATGTGGTAAAATGAAATTTCTATATTGAGGCATTAAAGAAAAATGCTAGTACTCAAATCATCATAATTGTATATGTTCTCTAACTGCTTAACATATCTGAGTAATTTATTTTAAGGTATTTATCTGAAAAGATCTGTCGGAAGGCTTTATATATATATATATATATATATATTTTTTTTTTTTTTTTTGGAACTTACCATGTAACAATGTATAAAAAAGAAAACCCGTCTAAAAAAATGTTTACATCAAAACCTCCCCGACATATTTCTCAATTTTTATCATTTCAGATTACCTTTTGGACCTAATATTAAGCCCAGACTTCACATTCATACTATATTACTAGCAAAATAAAACATGAGTGTAACAACTCTGATGTGCCCTCCCACCCCACCCCACCCCACTCCACCCCACTCCACCCCACTCCTTGACACATGGGTCCATGCTTACTCACATGTGCACACACAATCTCTGCTGAATTTCCTGCAGAAAAACATTAGTTCAAATTAACCCTGCTATATGCTTTGAGACTTTGAAGAATAATTTGTCTCGTCTTCAAAAATTCTGATTCAGATTACAGTAATTTACAAAATCATCAAAGCCGAGACAGTATTTCATTCTACCGATGCAAGATGTGAAATTTTTTTAACAGAGAAAGAGAGAATTTTTTAATATTTTTTTTTAGCTTTCGGTGGACACAACATCTTTATTTTTATGTGGTGCTGAGGATCGAACCCAGCGCCCCGCGCATGCCAGGCAAGTGCGTTACTGCTTGAGCCACATCCCCAGCCCCAAGATGTGAAATTTTTAAATGGATTTTAAAAGAATCACAAAATTATAACCTAGATGATACCTTAGAAATTCTTTCTATAACCCCTTTGTCTTTAAGTAGATAAAACTGGTTTTATAGTGGAGTAAACTTGTGCACATTTCAAAGCGCACACTTAGTCAGACCCTGGATCAAGACCTAAATCTCCTGATTCCCAGACTACTTGGGTTTTTTGTTTGTCTCTTATTTAACTGGACTCAGTATCCACAAGTTACTTAATAAGGTATCATTTTTTAGGGGTTTTGTGGGGGTTTGTTGTTGTTGAGAGATAAAATCTATTGATAATTATTTATTTAGACCTGTGTAGCTTCAGAGTACATTCACCCACGTTTTCATATTTGATCCTCACAACATCCCTGGGAAAGAGGCCAAACCATATTTGGCCCCCATTGTACCAATAGAGAAACAAGATCTGAAAGGCTACAGCAAGGGTTCCTGGTTGTGGTATGTGGCAGATCCAGTACGAGAATACAGGTCCTCTTAATTCCAGTCTGCTCTTCTTTCCATGCTCTCCCTCCACCTGTCCCACAGTACAAACACATACCCAGGTCTTTCAGGTTTTTGTTTTGATCTGCCAAGTATGTTTTCAGTTCCAATCTCTGAAAATTTAAATTTTACATAATACTAGATAGTAAAATCTCTGACCCTAAGAAGTTTATACCCAATGACAAATTACACATATATAAAATAAACTGATAGAAGAAGAACTGACTGTTTCAGTAACCAAATCAATGACCATATTAGTACATTAGAGGAACAATGTTCTGTCTTTGAACATGTTTTATAACATTTTTTAGAACTTGGGCTGGGGATGTATTTCAGTGGTAGAGTGCTTGTCTAGCATGTGTGAGGCCCCAAGTTTAATCCCAAGCACTGCCAAAAAAAACAAAAAAAAACATTTTTATTAAATGAAACAATGTCTTTTACACATACAACTCTGACCCACTCTGAGTAGCTGTTCTCAGGTGATACACAGATCCATACCATGCCCTCCAAATTAAAGCTCAGAGACATCTCAGTTTTTAAAGGCTATCAGGATAGCTTAGCTTTTCTCTTTTTTTTATGTATTTTTTTTTTAGTTGTAAATGGACACAATACCTTTATTTTTAGCTTAGCTTTTCTTTTTGCATAGAACTCACTTAAGAACTTTTTGAAATTTTTTAGTTTCATAAGAAGATCAAATATGTCCTTTAGATAAATAAGTCTTTGGGCCTTCCCCATACTTATAATTTCTTAGAAGTAAGACTGAATTAAGATAGATTTCTCATGAGTTGAAAACTGTAGTCAAGTTGATGATAGAAAACTATAACCCAGAATGTATAGAGAAGTCATTTCTTTAATGTACCTAAAATGAGTCCATTGTTCCCAAGTAAACGGACAAGGGCTAAATTTTTGTTTGTTTCTTATGTTGCTTATTCTTTGGGTGGGGGAGGAGAATGGCAGTCAATTCCATGTACGCATTTATCTGCATTTTAACAAAGCCACACTTTATTTTTAGATATCAAGAAGAAACTTTTATAGGTTAATTTTCTTGAAAGTCTTTAATTTCCACCGTTTATACCACATGCAGGTTCTTCATTTATTAACTGGTGCCCAAGTTGGAGTTTGTAATGAAACTTCTATAAATAGTTATAATCCTTATTAAGTAATACTAGTATTCTCTAGCTATTCACATATTGTATACTGAGTTTTGTTGGGTTTTGGTTTTCTGGTTCTTAACATTAGAAGGCTTTATGCCATTAAAAGCTTTGGTCAGAGAGATTAATTCAGATAGTCAATCATTATTAAAGTCCTTTATTTTTAAACACTCAAATGCCAACTGAATGAATGAAATATAGCACAGCCATCAGTGCCAAGTATTCTATCACCCCTCCACTGCATATATTTGTCCATCTTTATAATATTCTTCCTCTACTAGGCTAAGTTATTCTTTTCTTCATAAGTATGTCACTTGCAACTTTTCTAAGTTGTTTATTATTCAATTTTCAGCCTTTATCCTGCTCACTGCCCTCTATTTCTGAAATCAAAATCATTCATTGTAACATGTGACACCACAGTATACTCCGCACTGAGCTTGGTGCATTGAGAGATATAAAAAGTATTCACACGTTAGATGAGGAAATAGAAATAAGCATTTTGAAGGAAACAAACTATACAGTTGGGTGCAAAATGGTGTGAAACGTGTTGTAATTACAGGAAGAGAGAAGTCAAGTAGCTTGGAAAGGCCTCTGTGGGAAGTAAGGCTTAAATTGAGCTTTGACTTAATAGGGCTTTTGCATGTGATACAAGAAGGAAGCAGGTATTTCAGACTGAAGAAGCAAATCACAGTAAAGATAGGGGAAGCTAGCAAGGGGAGAGTGGAAGGAGAATCGCTAATTGGTGGTTTGGGATTGGGGATTTGCAATAGAATAAAAAATCAAGCTAGAGATTATGGCTCTCAAAGAATGCAGTATGAAGGAGTTTGGAGAGCCACAGATGATTGGAAGGTGGGACTAGGAGACATATCTTACTGTGTTTGCCCAGCATTTTACATGAGCCTAAGCAAACATCAGGAATTTGGTCTTGTTCCAGCCCTTTTTTTTTTTAATTTTTTGTTGTTGTAGAAGGACACAATACCTTTATTTTGTTTATTTTTATGTGGTACTGAGGATCAAACCCAGTGCCTCACACATGCTAGGCAAGCGCTCAACCACTGAGCTACAACCCCAGCCCTTGTTCTAGACTTTGATGCTACTGCTATAAAGAGGAACAATCAGGAGCATCATTTCCAGGTAAACAACAGTGGTTCATGGGTGAGCATCAGTGCAGTGGAGGAAATGTGGATCATCTGTTTTCTGCACTAGGCATCTGTTCTCTGCACTAGGTATTGTGCTAGACACTGAAATCCATTAATAATTAATATACAGTATGCATCTTGGAGGAGTGCTCAATGTGGCAAGGAAGACAGACTATGTGTAGTCATTTGCTAAGTAGAGATTTGCTGAGCACTACCATATCTCAATGTTCTAGGCACTAGGGACACAACAGTGAACACAAAAATCCTGGCCACAAAGAGCTAACATTTTATTTATTTATATGTAAAATAAGTTAAATGTCTATGTCAGATATGAGCTATGCTATGGAGAAACATAAATCATAGGTACAGAGAGGAAAATTGAAGCCTGCAGTTTTAAATAGGAGTGACAGAGAAGGTCTCACTAAGAAAAGTGGAAGGAAAAAGGGAAATGAATGATGTGAACATGTGGAGAGCAAGTGTAAAAAGCCCTGAGGCAAGAATATACCTCGTATCATAAAGGAACATAAAGGAAATTGCTGGAGTTTCTGGAGTAAAGTAAACAATTGGGAAAGAGTACCTGAGATCAGGAAAGGTAGCAAGACTTTTACACTAAATGAAATAGGATGCCATTAAAAGAGGGAGTGGCTTAGAATTTAACAGGATCATTCTGACATTTTAGGCAAATATAGGTATTAATGGACAAGTATGGAACCAGAGAGACCAGTTAAGATAATATTGAAGTTGATGCTGCCTTGAAAAAGAGGGGTAACAATGAAGTTAGTAAGAAGAAAACAGGGGCTGGGGATGTGGCTCAAGCGGTAGCACGCTCGCCTGGCATGCGTGCAGCCCAGGTTCGATCCTCAGCACCACATACAAACAAAGGTGTTGTGTCCTCCGAAAACTAAAAAAATAAATAAATATTAAAATTCTAAAAAAAGATAAAAAAGAAGAGATCAGATTTTTTGTACACATACATATTTCTAATACTTTGAATAAAAATAATACTAGATATTCAATAAATGCATGTATTTAAAGTACAGTTTAAGTTTTGACATAGATACACACC